CAGCAAATCTCTTCGCTTGGATCCTGCTGCTTTCGGATGCTGCAGCTACTTAATAAACTCAGAGGAAAAACTACAAATCAACCGGAAGCAACAAACCAAACCTGAGCTCCTGTTAGTCAAAACCTGCGATACGCAACATAATAATAATAATAATTGCTCAGATTTATATAGCGCTTTTCTCGACACTCAAAGACGCTTTACACTGTCAATTATTCATTCACAGACATTCATTCTGGTGGTGGTAGCTACGATTGTAGCCACAGTCGCCCTGGGGCAGACTGACAGAACCTAAACCACAACATAAACCATAAACACTTTTACATTAATGTTCCTCAAAGCCTCATTTAGACAAACCTCCAACACTAATAGATCCTGTTCCATCCATAATTATATGTAATTACTGAAGTTAATACGGCAGCTATTTAATAAACTGAGAGGACAAACTACCAAACAACCAAACGTGAGCTCCTGTGAGTTAAAACCTGTCTGACATTATTTATTTATTAGTGAGTCTCATCGATCTGACCTCTTTTCACTGCAGTAAATTTGTATTTTCATGGACGTGTCAGTTTGTAGTAACAAAAAAAAATATTAAAATTGTAGAGAAAAATTCAACTTTCACATCCTTAAATAAAAGCAAAGCATACAAGCTGCCAAATTCAACATTTCTGGTCTCCAGCTCGTCTCCACAGCAGCAACCAGACTGGAACCAGAACAGAATGACTAAAAAAAACACTTAATCTGCAGGTGAAGCTGAACTCTTGAAGAGCACCTGCACTCCAGTTTATTTAGTCTGACTGCTCTCCAAAGCTTCCTGAAGCCGCTCTGCTCTCATATTACACCAAATACTAAGACGCAGGTTAATTCACTGTACTTTAATCAGCTTTACCGCTACGTCGGTCTTCACATACGAGAGCTTTTAAAGAAGGATAAAATAGATTTTAAAAGACTCTAAGCGTCACATAAACCGCAAAGTTGAGCAAATCCAGGGAACTTTAGGTCATAAAAAGCAAAAGAAATGTGCAAATTTACACAGTTTATGCTGTAAACAACTTGAAATGTGCAGAGGACATTAACAATAATAAATACATATATTCTAATTTCAAATGCAAGAATTCTTCTTACGCTGCAATATTTCATTATTAGCCGTGATATTTTATTGCTTTTCGTCTATTCTGCTCTAATTTTTGCTTATTTATTTTCAGTAATGTGTTGTGCTTTTATCTTACTTTAAAGCTATGAAGGGAAAAATACACTTTAAAGATGCTTGAGTGTGTTTAATGACCCACTTGGAGATTTAAAGTCGCTACAGAGACTGAAACCTACAAGAAAGTGACGTGTTTTTGTGTTGGAGCCGTGTTGGGGGGAAGCATTTGAATTTCACACTTCTTAACATGCATGTATGTGAGGATCGCTGTGACTGAACATCAGGCTCACCCTCAGCTCCGATAGACACCAGTTTGACTCCCTTGCTGGCGATGAAGTCCAGGGCTTTGTTCACATTGTTGATCTTGTGCACCCTCATCTTTCCTCTCTCAGGTTTGGGTAACCGTTCGCCTGCGGAGCACAAACGAACAAGAAGGTTAACTCGGCAGAAAAAGCGCTTGAGGAAGCTGAAGCCGAGCTCGAGAGCGAGTTTCGTCACTGCTGATTATCTGCTGCCAACAGAAGCAGCTACAACCTGCAATTAAACACATAAAAAAGCAGAATCTCCAGCCGAGCGTCGAGTGCGTTCTTACGCCCCGAAGCAGACATCTGAGAGTATTTTTCTTCTAATTGAGCTCCGACCACTGACAGATGAGCCTGTGGCGGCTGGACGGATGAGTCTCTCTGCGGCTTCTGGGTGAGACGTTTGAAAACAGTCGTCGTTTTTATTTAATTACAAACTTTGACGGCCTCATCTTCTCCGTGGAGTTACCTGAGATGACCTCCAGCAGCAGCATGAGCTTGAGTCCATCCCTGAAGTCCTCCTCGATGTTGTCGATCTGCGTGCCGGCCTTTCGCAGGTGGGAGTTGCACCAAGCCGTGAAGGTCTGCAAGAGGAAAAACAGGACAAACGGCGATTAGTCACGGTGTTTCCACTGCTTTTATCACAAAACAGAATGAAAGAAAAGTGAATTCAATGGGCAGGAAGGAGCCGCTTTGATAAGGCGGGAAGCAGCGGGAGACGAGGGAGGAGTCCGAACACAATCAAAATATGAAAACTATTGATCTCAAGAACAATTTGAACGAGTCACACTTTCGATCTTGAGAAGTTTCTCTTGTATTTCGCCACCAAATTCCTCTAAAATCATTTCAGCTGCGCACGAAATCCGTAAATAACTCCGAGACACCAGACTCGCCGTCAGAGCTGATCCGTTTTACTGCCCCAACAACATCCACGACGCTCGTAATCGAACACCAGGACGGAATCCCAAACACAGACATCTGGAGCAGAAGACCGGCGCGAGGAATCGCACACATCAGTGGCGGCTTGGAAACCATGTTTTTGTGCGTCTGGTGAGCCGGCATTCTTGGGAAATGTGTTTCGGATCATTTTATTTTGCAGGAGCTCGTGGCACCGAGGTGGGCGCTGTGGAGAGGCTCTGTCACGCTACCCTCCTAAACTCCCGAACCATCCATCACGGCGTCAGAAACGCTCGGAGGCCGTCTTTTGTTACATAATTTAAGGGGGAAAGAGCAGAAAAATGCATGAAGGCGGCGACCAGAGTTCATGTGGAAGCTTCGGCCTGAACATGAGTGAAGCTGCAGTTTCTCTAAAAGTTTTCTGGTTGCTTCTTTATGAAGCATAATTAACAGTTTAATACAAAATGTGGTTTATGAGAAGAAAGTGAGCAGTTTGAAGAAGCGAAAACTGACTTCAGGAGACAGACAGAGGCACTGAAACAAAAGTTTTTCATGCGTTGTTGCTGAAAAACTGCAAAAGCTTCACACAGATCCATGTTGTGTATCAGAGCCGTAGTGTTCAGGTCAGCTGGTTGGTTTATTCGCTCTTATTCTTCTATTTATTATTCCCCACATTTTCACAACTTAAAACTGTTCCAACCTCACTTCTAGGTCCAGCTTATTTAAACATTTATTCCCAACTGAGACTCAAACCACCCACTCAAACTTATCGACTAGGGGTAGCCCGATCATCAGCCCGGCTGAATATCAAGGCCGATACTTTCAGATTATCGGTATCTGTACTTTTGTTGGCCGATTATCAACACATTAAACTCCATTTTTTAAAATTCTGATGCAGCCACTTTTCTCGGTCTGCAGTCTCAGAAATGTCTCTCAAGCAGAAAAGGCAAAAAAGAAAAAAAAGAACAAGAAACACAGGAAATGAGCTCGTCTCACCGTGGCTACTGCTATGCTAACGGCAAAGCTAGCAAGCAGATGAACCTGAAACAGAGTCTAGAGAATGAAAATGCTCTAAGATCTGGACCTTAGTGGACAATAACAGCGAGCAAGCAGCGAAAGATTAAGAAAACAGAAACTGATCAGTCGACCCTCGTAAAAAGAGATCGTTTAGAACTCCTGTTACACAATCAATTGTTCACTTATTAATGAACGAGCCTAATTATGCAGTTAAAACATCTCATCAGCTCCAGATATCGCTCGTCCTCGATCACCGATAATCAGCTGGTGAAATGAAACTTTGCGGGTCGGATTCGCTCCTGGTTTTCTGTCCACAAACATTATGACAGGAGCAGCTCTCCGGCCGGCCCCTCTCCCCTCCGTCCCACCGCCGACACCGGCACAAAGCGCCCATTTATCTGGCGGATAATAGCAGCCTTCAGCCCCCCGAGCGCCGCCTCGGCCGGACTGACCCTCCCCCAGACCGACGACACCAAACCCCCGAAAACATCCAAACTCTCAGCATTACACTCATACAAATATATACTAGTAGAAAGAGAAGAGGAAGACATAGGGGGGATAGGTTTCAGATAAACAGAGATACTATGGGCAGAGCTGGTGGCAGGACGGAGAGACAAAACCACACAAACAGGAACAATGCAGCAGGAAAAGGCCGCAGCAAAGGCAGGAAGCTCCGGCTTAGTTTAGCTCAGTCGGACAATCAGGAGTGACGACAAATTCATGGCCGCTCAGCTGCAACCAGAAAAACTCCGTCACAACACAACAGCTTGGCTATTTATTTATTTTCAGTACATATCTCACTTTTACTGCCACCCGGCTTCACATGGATGCCGTCACTTCCCAGCATTCACTCAGGAGCTCTGAGGGAGCTGAAGTGGGGCTAAAGAGTTCATAATATCGGTTTAAATCTGGTTTTATAACATCCAGAGTTGAAGCTAATCGATGCTAGAAGAGCTGCTGCAGAGAGAAAACATGTTGTTGTTCTTCTGTATTTGTATTTAGATCAAAAACTCTCAGATTAAAGCTAATTATGGACCAAACCAAGCAGACAAGCAGCTCTTCGATTATCGGTTCTAGAAATCTGCACCGGACAAACAGATTTATTGCTGCATTATTACACAATATTTTGCTTATTTTACCAACTTCCTTTTCAATGGGCTTATAACGGGTTATTGCTGCTCCTAATGCAGAAGTGAAAACAACATTGGTGAGGTAGTAGTAGCCTGGAAATCGTGATATTTTTCTGTTCTTCTGGTTTTTTACAGGAATTTGTAGGGGTGGACGGCCATCTTTGTTTCTATTTTTGCAGATACGAAGGCCAGTGGCTGCTCTCTTTAGGTTGTGTTCATTCATTTTATTTTTTATTAATTAGTGTAAAAACCTGCATCCTGGTCTTTCTTTCTTCCCTTCACCCTCAGGCAGACGTCCACCCTCCCTGGGCCTGGCTCTGCCGGAGGTTTATTCCAATCAAACGCTGCTCAAACAGGAATCGTTTGGACTTCTTTACATCATATAATGCTGTAGGATCTAGTAGGTGAGATGACTTTTCTCGTGCACTGGCGCTACGTAAATAAACCTCAACTAAATGACCTCTATAAACAGTTACAGATGTTGACTTAAAACAGTTTTCAGGCCTCCTCTCTGTCTCCGTCCACGTGGAGGGAGCCGATTATCTGAACATGACGAGCAGCTCTTCGGCCATGTTTGAGCCGCTGACGAAAACAAGGCTGTAAAACTCCAGCAGCAGCAGCAGCAGGCCGAGACCTGCAGAACATGCACATGTCGTCATCGCCTCCCTGCCAGGTCAGAGGTCGGAAGTCTCCAGACGGTCCGTTTAATTCTGAGAACAGGAGCACCGGCTCACGTCATCCGCTGATAAAATCTGAAGCGTGCTACGGCAGCTACAACAGGCCTGCTTCCAGCTTTTTATGTCATCCCACAACAAAACAGTCCTGACAGAGCAAACCGAGGTAACGCCAAACACCAGGAGCAGCGCGTGACGTCAACCCTTGGCGATCTGGCTGACCTTAGAGTCCTGGCCGGCTTTCAAATCGCTGCTTAAAGTGCAAATATTAGTTATGTCAGAGCAGCGTAATCTACTTGTTGCCCGTTAAACGCGTCCGCGTGTCGCCGCACAGATCACATCGGCTGAGAGGATTTCTGACCTGAGCTCAGGACGCAGATAACAAGCTGGAGCTGGATCCCGCCGCTAAGACGGTTTACGTTTGAGGCACCCGGCTCTCATCCTCGAGTGTCCGTTGCATAACCCGACATCCTCCGTTATCGCATCCTCTTATTTAACCTTTAAATGTAATCAAGCTGCTGCGGTTCAAAGCCGGCAGCTCGGAAAAGCCAAAAAAAAAACTTTATTTAAATACCAGGAAACCCTCAAATAGGATTAAAGCAGCTCTCCACACACCCGTCACCTCCAACCAGCGGCTGCAGCGTCTAATTTTGCAGGGATGAGGGTGGATTCTTCAGTTTTTTTTTCATGACAGTCTCCACATGCCAACTGTGGCTTTTGGATGAAACTGGGTCAGAGTGTGACTCAAACTTTGATGAGCTCGTCTCCAGAATAAAACATTCCAGCCTCGTGTGTAAAAAGGAAACTACATGGTTGTATTTCTGTGCTCTGCAGTCGTGGCTCCGACAAAGCTGGACTCGAGTTCCGGCAGCCGGACGGATCGCCGGCCAGAATTCAAACGCTCGAGATGACTTTGCTTCTTGAAGTTTTCGATAACGCCAGCTACAGGCTCGCTTATGTGGGCTGTGAGCGAGAAACTCAACTTTTACAGGGAATGTTTGGTGAAAGACGGTTTGAAAATGAATTTTAGAGGACAGACAGAAGCTCTGAAACATCAGTTTTCTCACGTTTTGCTGCTGAAATGCTGCAAAAAGACAGAAAACTAAAAGTTGCACATCGGTCCAGCTCGATTCGTTGGTTTATGAGCCCTCATTGGATCAGTTTCTCATTGTTCAGACAACCTCTGGTGTTGCTGTCATAAGCAGAAAAGCGGTGCATTAACAGAATTCATTATTTTTGTAGTGTTTTTCAGCTTTGGACAGACTTAACCTGTGTCGAAACTGTAAAATTAACTCCAAACTGACTAAAAATATATCAAAGAATTCGTCCATTTTGGCCAAAAAGTCGACAACCAACACGGAGAATCGTATAGAAAAACAGCCGCTGACCAGTTTTTGTGCTTAAATCACCAGTTAATACAGATTTGGTTTAATAAATAACGTGAATCCGTTCTTATAATTTCAGTAGAAAACAACCAAATGATCGAATATGCTGCAAATACTTTGTTTATAATTGATGAAGCCTAATAAGGCTGCATGTAGAGACGCTCGGCGCTCTGTGGGACGTTTAGTGCATCATTAGTCGTTTTTCTCCTCTTTTCATCAAAAGCCCCAAGAAGTACATGTTTTAATAGATTTTTAATGCTTCATATTTTAGAAATCCTGTCTTTATTAGATGCTTTAGGATTTTATACGACTACATTTTCTTCTGCTTATTGATTTTAATCGACTGGACTCGTCTTTATGCGCTTTTGCACAACATTATTCTGCAGTTTGCTTTTAAACGGGTCTTAGAAATAAATCTGATTTGACACTTTTATGTCTGACCGAGCTCATCTTATCCTCCATTTGTGATTCATGTTAAAGC